GCCCCTCGTTGCAATGTTGTGCTTTTACGATCAGGTGAAGGTGACGCGTTCTGACGGCGGCCCACTGACGCTGGAGGAAAGGGGCAATGACGTGGTCATCACGGTGACGCAGAGGAACTCCACGGAGCCCTGGGGCCGGTGGGGCGGCAGGCGGCGGGAGGTCGGGGCTGCCCAGATGCTGAATCACACCGTGCCCCCGAGTGGCATCTTCAAGGTGGAATTCCCCATCCTGGACGACTCCAGCGAGCTGCAGCTGAAGGTGCCCTCCGCTCGCCTTCCTGTGGCACGGCTGCAGCAGGACTAATGTTGGGGGGTCCAAGTGCACAGGAAGTGGACGCGTGGTCCTATTTCTAAAAGTGGGGGAAAGTGGTAAAAGTAGCTTACTGGCATTGGCTCAGGGTCGGATTCATTTTGAAGAGCACAGGAAAACACAGCCCTCCGAAGACAGGGCGGAGAGCGCCCCACGCTCCCCGGCGAGGTGGATTTTCAGTCATTTGAAGTTGTGTTTTGGGAGGTGCTGAAATGAAAGGGGGCCGCATTTTTTCACCCTTCCTCCCCCGTGCTGAGCCCTTTCCCAGAGTGGCTCGCCTGAGGCTCCCCACCCGTGCCTGCCCCCTTCCCTGGGTGACTCAGCCCTGCCACAGGCGTGGCCTCCCATTTGACTCGCTGGTGGGTGGAATGGGGTGACTGGATTTCTTGTTTGCAAATGAGCTCAGCGTCGCGGAGAGAAGGAATGACGTCCTTTTTCATTTTGTTCTTTCCTCACAGTACTGCGTGAGGTCATGCCTCCATTTATGAAATGTTAGGAGACTGCGCTTTTTTCCTCTTAGATAATGATGACTGAGACCCTCTTCGCGTTTTAGAGCGATCACTTCCTTTACAGTGTAAGCGATAGAATGATGAAGGTCCAGCGTCTGGGGATGCATTGTTCCCACAGGAAAACAAGTGAAAGTGAATTTGCCTTTTAGTAAATGTTCAGCGGCTTTTCCATAGATAGAGATGAAAACTTATAGATCCCTTTTCTTTCCGTATAGGCCTATTTTCTTAATAGTGTGAGTAGCATGGCAGTTCACGGTATGTTTAAGTCTCCTACCAAAACATACATCCAGCTGAAAACGAGAGACGAAGATATAAAGGTAATGCCTACAGTCACCTGGTACAAAACAACCGGATTCTTTTGCCATTAATATGTCTTTACTGATTATGATGTTCTTTCTAGGTGGGATCGCCCTTTCAGCTGGAGGTCAGTGGTAACAAGCACTTGAAGGAGTTAAGCTATATGGTAATTTCTTACAGAATCTAGGTTTATGATCTATTTTGGAATCAAATGGTGTCTACCTTATGTCTGGACTAAATTTTGCTAATTTCAAAAATTCAGCCTCATACTCTTTTAGCCTGTCCTTTTCATATTGCTATCAAAAGATCTTTTTTTCTTTCCCCACCTATGTTTGCATTTTTTCCAATTTAAGATGGATAATTAAATGTTGCATTACATTTAAAATTTAAATTTCTGTGAGAGGATCCACACACACATTCTGTGTAGAAAATTACAAAGCAAAAGAAAAACGAAGAATAAAAGAAAAATTCCTTCCCACCGCCTTCTTGTAATTTTGCTGACCCTGGTCTCCCAGAGGTTGAGCTCTCGGTTGCTTCCGCTCAAAAATCCATTCCTGACTTTGAAGCTACTGTTGTCTCCATCAGTGGGGCTTTAGCTTAACTCTTCCTATTGCCCAGCTTCTACTCCTTGTGCTGCTGGTCAAGGACGTTTTCTGGCATTCAAAGAGGCTTTGAAGTTGGTTTCAGTCAAGAAGTTGTGTATTTGGTTAAAATTATGGTGGCTGCAGTTAAGATTCTCTTGAGCACAAAATGAAACTGGTCTCTTCTTTCCAGGTAGTTTCCAGGGGGCAGTTGGTGGCTGTCGGAAAACAGAATTCAACAACCTTCTCTTTAACACCAGAAAATTCTTGGGCTCCAAAAGCTTGTATAATTGTGTATTATATTGAAGATGATGGGGAAATTATCAATGATGTTCTAAAAATTCCTGTTCAGCTTGCTTTTAAAAATAAGGTAAGGTTTAAGGTGGTAATGTTTAGAAGAAAACCTCATATTTGTGAAGTCTTAGAGATGTAATATTTCTTTAGAAAATGGTTATTAAACCAAATCAGTTAGAAATTCCTATTTCTAGGGCTATGGGTAAACCTCTTTATATTTAGTCAGTACCTATGTCTTTTCACATGTGGAATTACTGGTCACTGTGTGTCTTATTTTTAAGTTATGATTCTTGACTTTAAGACTTGAACTCAAATCCATGAAGCTATTTCAGAGTTTCTTGAATGGTGGAAGCAGTATTGCTTTGGCATGGACTTTCAGAGGCAATATAGAATTTGGGTGGTGTTGCTAGTGGCGTGAGGGTAAAATCCTGTTTTCTCCCTCTCTTAGATCAAGCTGTCTTGGAGTAAAGCTCAGGCGGAACCGTCTGAGAAAGTCTCTCTCAGGATCTCCGTGACACAGCCACACTCTGTAGTTGGGATTATTGCTGTTGACAGAAGTGTGAATTTGATGAATGCCTCAAATGATATTACTATGGAGAATGTGAGTTCAGCTCTTTTTTCATTACAGAAATATACGTTAAAAGAGAAAAAAGAAACATCATTGCATTACTTCAAACATCTAAGGAAATTTCATTAGTTCCTCCTGTACAAGTCAGTCCTCAATAAAGCTTCCAGATAAAAAGGACCTGCATTCCAGTTGTTACACTGGAAAGAGGCTCATGTGCTCAGTCAGATGTCTGCTCTCTTAATGAGGAATGCCACCTAAAGTTTTCCTTCATTTTCATGCTGTCTTTTAACTTAAAATTCTTAAAAAAGCACTGGGAAACTAACTTGCACAATTCTGGATGACATTGGAAAAGAGAGCTTCGGATAATTTTGAAGGGTTTTCTGTTTTGGTTGTATGTAATGGTTATAAAGAATCTGAGTCCCTTCTGAATCAGGAATTTGCCTTATATTGAGGGAGTGAAATATATTAATCTGCAGAAAACTTACAAACCAAGAAATACATGAACTTCTAGCATTATGTGAATGAATTCCCCATTCATTAGTCATCATTTTTATTTGTAAGTTCCTGCTATATCATTGTGTACTATTGCAGTCAAAATCTGGATTGTATAACTCATGTCCATTAATTGACTAAGTATAGTGATTAACAACACATCAGGAAGAAAGATATGTGTGTTTGGGCCAATTTAGTTTCCTGTAAAATTAATCCACTTTGGTAAAATTACACCTATTTTTCAGTTTCTACAGCTAATTTTTCTTAAAAAAAAATACTCCTTTAAAACCAATTGGTCATTTTTTTTCTCTTGACTTTTCTTAAAATCACATTATTCTAAGAGGTCTACATTTGATTTAACTGAGTATAGTTATACTCTCATTTTATGGCTTTCTAAATATATTAATAAATATGTTATTCCATTTCTTTCTTCCATATGTACACACACACACACGCACACACACACACACAGACACAGACACCCTCTGTCTGGTGCTCATGACCTCTGTGCCTCTCTGTCTTACTGTATATTTACACTGAATTTTGTTGGACGTTAAGATTGCTGTCCAGCTTTCTTTTGGTTCATAGTGGCCTGGCATGTTTTTCCAGCTTTTTATTTTCAACCTTTTGGAAGTTTTTGTTTTACGTCTATCTTGTAGATAGCATATTATTATATTTTGCTTTTGTTTTGAAGTCTAATCTGATAGTATATTTTAATAAGCTTATTTAACCCATTTACCAGTATGGTACCTGTTGTTCTAATTAAGACTTATTTCTGATTTTTGATTCCTTATTTTAAAGTTTAAATGATTCTCTCTCTCTCTTTTAAAACAAGTCTTCTTTCCAGAGGCTAGATCACATTTTGTGCGGCTGGTTTGGAGTCACGCACTCGCTTTTGTTCCCATGGTAGATGCCCTAGGTCATGAACCATACTCGTATTTATCCTCTTGATTTCTCCCGCTGTCAGTACTTGTGTCTTCCTCTAACAAGATGAGCGTTTTGGTGTGCTTTCTTACTGTTGTGCATCGTTGTCTCTCTCCTGTCCCCTCCTCCAGCCCTGGCCAGGTCACATTGCTATTATGCAGAATTGTACCCCGGTGTCATTACAGGTTGCCCTTTCAGTCTGTGTGTGCCCTTCATTTCTCAGCTGTGGAAATAAATGTACACCCACGCTTTCTTCATGTGCTTATTGTGGACGTGGCAGTGGTGGTTGTTAGCATAGCAGAAACAGTGGTTGTGAGTGTTTAATTTTAACTTGGTGTGTTTTTAAGCTTGTGCTTAGAATCTTTCATGATTTTATTGCTGCCTTTGTCTTAATTCATCTGGTTAATGATAATGTAAATAAGGGAGATGTATCAGAAATAGTTACGAAAAAGGACATCATATCTTAGCTTTTTTTAAATGTAGCAAAATATATACAATATAAAGTTTGCCATTTTCACCAGCTTTAAGAGCATAACTCACAGTGTTGGGCAATCATCATCCCTATCTATGTCCAAAACCTTTTCATTGCTCCAGTCTCCAACCATTATAACCACAGTATCTCCCCAGTCCCCTCTCCCCCAGCCACTGGTAGCCTGCAATCTACTTCTGTCTTTATGAATTTGCCTGTTCTAGACATTTCATAAAAGTGGATCATGGAATTTGCCTTATTTCACTGGGTGTAATATTTTCAAGGTGCCCCCACAGTTTTGCATGGATCAGAACTTTCTCTTTATGGCTGAATACTGTTCCGCTGTGTGTACGCACCACAGTTTGTCTCTCCACTCTTCTGCTGATGGGCTGAGGCTAATGGACTCTGGTGGCTGGTGTGGCCGTGGACACTGGTATATAAGTGTGTCTTTGAGTCCTTGTTTTTGGTTCTTTTGGGTCTATACAGAGTGGAATTGCTGGGTCATATTCTAATTCTCTCTTTAACTTTTCTAGGAACTGTCAATTTTCCTCACTCTTGCTAGCAATAAATATCATTCCTAAAAGAATAGCATTGCTAATGTGATAATGCAAAATCTCACTATTGATAAACCTGTCTCATTGATGTTTAATCTGCATTGCTTGATCAATGAGGTTGAATATTTTTCTGCTGATTAATCATATACATTTCCTCTTTTGTGAATTCTCTTTGTGTTATTAAAAAAAAATATAGTTCACCAACATTTTGCAGAACTTCCATGAACCATCAAATTTATCCTGTTTATCTTTGTCGAATGGGTAGGTCATATTTATTGCTGAGCTCTATGTGGTGGTCTTATCAACCAGAGACATTTAAGTTCCTCCTGGGCAAACTCAAGCCCATACTTCTTAGGGGCTCTGGATTGGCCAGAGTAAACATAAAGTTAAGAAATGTAATTTTGGCTGACTGAATCATGAACAAGGCATTCACATACTCATTATTCCTCCATTTGGGTCATTTTCAATTTTGATAAGCCTTGAGTGTGTCTTATCTAAGTTATATATAAAAAATGTTGCGGAGAGCAGAACACGTTGATGCGACTCCATTCATTCCATATATTTTATCTCCTTAGGTGGTGCACGAGTTGGAACTTTATAACACAGGGTATTACTTGGGCATGTTCATGAATTCTTTTGCAGTCTTTCAGGTATGTTCAACTTGCTTATGATTTAAAAAGATATTAATATCTTTTACTTTTGCAAACACTTTCAGAATTAATGACCTGAATTATGAAATGGTAACCTTTTATTAAATGTGTTGCTGAAATACAGTGTGTAATTTGAAATGGAAAGAAAATAATCCTTCCAGTTTAAAAGCAAATGGAAAAATTTACCATTAGAAAAATTAATGGAATTGTCATTAAACAAATAATTTCTTTCTTTTGTATTGCTTTCCTCGACTTTGAAATGTCTTGTTATGCCTGAGAGAGAGACAGAGAGAGAGAGAGAGAGAGAGAGAGAGAAAGAGAAAGAGCGTGAGTGTGTATGTGTGGGTGTGTGTGTGTGAGAGAGAGGTAGAGGGCATATGCTCCTTAGTGTATGTACCTAAACTCTAAAAAATGAGCAAGGATTTAAAAAAGAGGGAAATACTTTCACATTCTGCATAAAAAGATATCAGTGAGAGTGAGTTAGGAGTGTGGGACACTGCTGTGACAATTTAGAGAGCATTTAAACTTTTATTTCAAAAGAAAACAAATTATTCTTTCTAGGAGTGTGGCCTCTGGGTATTGACGGATGCAAACCTCGGGAAGGGTTACACTGACGGCGTCTGTAAGTAAGACCTGCCAGGGCACCTTTGCAGTATTTAAGTTTTTCATTTCAGGTATTTAAAATTACTTAAATAGGTACAAATACTTTCTGGTTGAACATGGATATTGTGATTTTCATTTCTGTTCCTTTCTCCTAAACCTTTGGAGTGTCATGTACTTGGAGGTCCATTGGAGCCCTGATGTGGAATGTTTGTCTGGGCTCCGGTCTAGATGGTTGGAATGAATGCTCTCCATTCGCTCCACTTCCCTGAGGTGTTTGTGTTTGTGGATATTTTGGAAGGTCCTATGTGTCCCATGGGTAGTGAAAACTGCTGTTATTTTGGAATTAGATAAAAGGAGCAGTGTATTTTTGAAACATTTTGTTTTGTAGTTTTTCAGTGTTCACCTAGAATATAGCCCAGATGCTGGTGTACATGTGCACACACACACAAACACGTACACACATGCATGGAATACACATGCATGTGCACACACATGCACACTCACGCACACCCAGGTACACACACACACACACATGCACGTGTGCACATGCACACACACACATGCACATACACTCTTTCACCAATCTTTCCTCCCCGGGCAGGGTCACACCTGTACATCCTACTGGCTTGCTAAATAGACTTGGCCAGCCAACTAATAGTGAGGAGTGTGCTTTTAGGAAGAAGTTGTAAAAGGTGTTGCTGGAAGGAAGTGTCTGTGTGAGGATGGTCACCTCTACCAGTTGCCCTCCTTTCTTTCGGGGGGAGTCACACTGCTGTCATTGGGAAGCTCCAGAGCTGTTGCAGCTTCTCTCCCCGATTCTCGTCTCTGTCAGGTGTTCTCAGTCACTCCACACTGAGCCCCGGGCTCTCTGGCTTTGGCGTGGTTCTCGCTGCCACAGGACACCTGGGCCTCTGTCCTGAGGCTGAAGAGATACTTTTATAATCTTAAACATTCAATGAAGTCGTTATGATTCTTATGTATTGTAAACAAATGCTACATTTCTCTTTCTTTGTATAATCATCTCTCCTAGACCATCTGCTTTTTTCTGTTCTCTCTCTGTGTCTGCTGTCGCCCATCTTTGTCCATCTTAACTGGTCCGTTCCTCATGATACACAGAGCTCAGTATTTTCTTGGCTGCTTTGAGACCACAGTTCAGCAGCCCTCAGCTTAGAGTCCCTGCTGTCAGAGCATCGATCACAGTGCCTCACTCAACGTTCAGGTCGCCTGCTTTCCCTTTCTATATTAATGACTCTCAGGAAGGGTCAACATCGTGCTCCTGGGGTCATCCTGGGGGCTGATCCAGGGAATGTGCACTGTCCTGTGACCTTCACTGGGGGGACAGCGGCCCCCGAAGGCCATGTCACCCCTGGGTGCCGCCTGCCCCTAACATTCAGATGCCCAGGTGCTTCTGCCTCGCACACTCCCGCACCCCCCTGACTTCAGTGACTGTCTCCTTCGGTCTTAACCAAAGACAAGGCGTCTTTTTGGTCCCGACTTCCGGCTGTCGCGGGTCCCCGGCTCGTCAGCTGCTGCTTCCCTCCCTGCCTGCCCGGGCCGGCTGGTCAGTCCGTTCGGTGGAATTCTTTCTTGGTCTCTTGTCCTTTCATGACATCTTCCCTGTTAAACCCGACCCTGCATCACCCCGACTGTTCATCTTACCCCTCGGCTTCTGCGCCCCAGTCCCCCCCAGCCCCCCAAGAGGATGCATGTCACAAACCAAGTTTATGATCTCGCTCCTTATGATGTTGCTCTTCCTTAATGTGATTCGGCTGCTGTGTGATTCCCTGAACTGATGTGATCTCACGTCTCTGTTAGTGAAATCCTCCACCCACGTGTCCAAATCGGAAGCCCGGAACTCATTCTAAATTCCTTCCTCTGTCAGATGTGGAGCAGCCTAGCAATTAAGAAAAGAATTTGCCATCAAATACTTTTGGCTTTGAATTCTGCCTTTATGACCCTGAGAAAATCCATTAATCTCTCCAACCTAAGGTTCCTCCCTGAAGTACAGGACTAGTAATATTACCTATAGTGCAGGGTTGTTATGAGGGTAAATCCAGTCTGCAATTACCTATTACCTTATTCCTCAGATCCAGTTCGTTTACTCATATTCAGTGGGTAGTGATGATATTAATTGCTGCCTCGCATGTATGAGGCAGTGGAGATTCCAGCCGGCCTGGTGGGGCAGCCGACACACAGCTGGCCGTGTGCGAAGGGCCCTGATGCCGTGAGTGCAGGCAGAGGTCACCCGAACAGGGGCAGAGCAGAGTCGTCTCGGTTCTGCCCTCCCTCTCTGCCCGGCGTCGGGCCCTTGTGAGCGTCTCCCTGACCAGTGCGGTGACTGCTCGGCCTGCCTGCCTCTTCCCGTAGCTCCAAACTGCTCTTCACACAGAGGCCGGGGTTGGATCGGTTTCTTGTTTCTTATAAAACCTTCAATGCGTCATCACTGCTCTAAGGATTCAGTCCAAACCCCTCAGCAAGGGATATGTGATATTGTAAAGTGGGCCCCCAGTGTTCTTTCTCTCCCTGTTTGATGCCCCATTGACCCAGCACCCATCACCGCTCATTGTCACTTATAGTCGCTTGTCACTTATTGTCACTCACTGTCACTGTCATCCTCTGGACGTGTCTTTGTATTTGGCTTTCCTTTTTTTTTCTGTATGGGATACTTTTTATCTGGAGACTTGAGGAAAATGGGATGCAAAAAACAAGGCAGATGGATCTTCTCCCCCAGCTGTACACGCCTCATCACCCAGATTCTGTGTACCATCAACCTTTGTCTGTGAAGCAGAGATCTGGCATATGCACATTGTCACTGTCATGCTTACAGTCTGTCTCCTCCACAGACTGTGAGTGGAGCTCATGCATTTGTCCTCTTATCCTCAGTACCTGTGCTTTTTCTCCTGTTGTATTTGGAAATAGTTTTAGATGATAGCAAAATTGAAAAAGTCGACACTGGTGATTGGAGTTTGTAGGGCAACACGTATATTTTTATACGAAAAAAAGCTTGTAAACTGGCCAATCGTAGCACTTGTGGCTGGTGTGGTCAGCGGTGGTCAGTGCTGGGGGCTAAGAAGAGGAGAACGGCACAATTGGAGGTCGTTTTAAAAATGCGATTCAAATTTTTTTAGCAACTAAACTGCAAGTCGTTTTCCATGCACTGGGTGTGCAGGCAGGGAGCATTGTTTTGGTTCCATTCTGGCTGAGCTGTGACTGGCCGCTCGGCCTCGGGCAGGCCACTTGGGCTCTGGGTCTTGGGCTTCTTTCGTCAGTGTGAGCGGACTGGACAAGACAAACTCCCAAGTGCGGTCCTGCTGAGGTGCTGTGATTCTGTGGGCTCAGCGTGCAATCATTCTCTGCAGCGGCTTCTCCCCTAACAGTTGCCAGTGTTTATTTCTAGATGACAGTGTAGAGGCTGCTGAGAGGTTCGTGGAAGAGAACGAAGGATACTTGGATTTCCATGACTTTTCTTCCGCTGGCAACTCGTATGTCAGAAAGCATTTTCCAGAGACTTGGATCTGGCTAGACAGCAACATGGGGTAAAAATTTATGTTTTTTTTTTTGTCCATGTACATTTTTTATAGTGTTAGTATGAAAGAAGTTTTGCCCTCCTACCAATATTTAAGTACAAACATGGTGTGATTAAGAACCAAATAGACCAACAGGTTTTTATTTCAAAATGAAATTGAACTAAATATAGTACTTAATGAAATACATGCAGACCGTGGCAGTGAGAACATCGTCGAGAAGATGGGCCCCTCTGGTGAGGGGTGATTTTTACCTCCCTTGAAGCTGTGCAGTTCCTGCTGCAGAGGTGTTCTTGGACGGATGTTTGTCGCTGGGGGTGGGGCAGCACCCACGCTTCCTGGTGGCACCTCCTAAGCGTCCCCCTGCCTCCAGGGAGAGGGGTGTGGGGGGTGGCAGCGATTCAGTTCAGGTGAGAAACCCTCTGCCACCTGGCCTGATCACGGAGCAGGTAAATCTCAGAATCTATGCATGTTTCATAGTCAGCTGTGTATGGAGACTTGAAATAAGATATAAATCAGATCTCAAAAAAACCCAGTGACAGCACTGACTGAGGCACAGAGGGCCACTTTGATGCAAGTTGGCGGAAATAAATTGGAATTAAATTTGAAAATGCATATTTATTTTACAAAATCTGTGAAAATAATGCTCGTTTTGAAGATACAAAGATTCTCAAAAGCTTCTGTTGGGTTAGGGGTGAGTGTGTGGCGTCAGGAGCCCGTGACCCCTTCCTTGAGACCTTGGGACCTGCTCTTTTATGCTTGAGTCTTTTTTAAAACAATTTAAATATGTAAGCGATTTAGAAAATTAAAGTTCTTCCTCAAAAATGGTTTAGGGCATGTTGATGATTTGAACTGTGTCCGTTCTTTGCGCTGTGATCTGTTTGTCTTAACTGCAGTTCCAGGATCGACCAGGACTTGGAGGTTACTGTGCCCGATTCCATCACTTCCTGGGCAGCTTCTGCTTTTGTGATCTCTGAGGACCTCGGTCTTGGACTGACGACGACTCCAGTGGAGGTGGGATATTAACGGCTGAGACCGTAGCCGAGGGTGAAGGTGTCAGCTCCTCAGGGGACCTGTGCGCAGGATTGCGGGTGATGCTCGTCACAGTGGAGAGTCCCCGGCTTTTCCTCTTTGCTTTCCATCTGTTTCGTATTTTAGAATGTGAGCTACTTAAACTGTTAGAAGTGCTAGGTCCATATTAAGATTTGGATAGACAGTTTATGATTGACTGAACCCAACCACTTCCAAAGGCCAGAAGAGAATTTCCAGTTATTTCTCTTTTCAGGACAAGCCCAGCTTCTTAGGACGTCCCCCTGGCAGATATCCCTTCACATCCCTTTGGTCAAATGGCGCCATGTCACTTCCTAAACCAGTCGTTGGCAGCAGGAATAATGACCATGGTTGGTTGTAGACCAGTGGCCCTCACCTGTCATACCTGAAACCTCCGTTATAACAGATACTTTGTTTTGCCCCTTTACCATCCAAAATGATATTCATAGAAAATATGGTATACCTATATAGTCAATGTAAAAAATCAGTAAGATGCCTCAGTGAAAGAAGAAGAAGAAACAAGGAGGGGAACATGGAACAAAAGGACACGTCTTTCAGTGTGTAAGGAGCCAGCAGGCTGCCCAGGCAGGCACAGCGGCGTATTTAGATATTTGTTGGTATTTGTGCCATGCATAGGCTCGCCCGGTAACAGCTGCGCGTGCAGTTTGATGTACTTACATCGTTCCAGCAACTCGAAAACCTTCAGGTGCGCAGGCTCTGGGGACGTAAATTTTGGAAACTGTGGACAGCTTTTGGTAAAGTCACATACAAAACAAGTGTACAAAATAGTGGTATCGAAAATGCTTTCGGTTTATATGTAAATTGAAATTAGGTTATAAACTCAGGGCGTTATAAGCAGGTGGTTAACACAAATGTCTGAAGCGACATCTAGAACCATGAGGGACTTGGGATGATTCTTCACCATCCGGGACAGTTCTGAGCATTGCAGACCTTCACCCACTTAGGTGCCAGGAGCACCCCTCAATCAGTGCTACAATCTAAGATGCTTCCACAAATGTCCTGACAAATCTCTAGGGGGAATCACTGGTGCCGCTGAGAACCACCAGCCTAAACTAATTGAGATGTACCCTCAGAGGAGGGGAGGGGCTCGGCTCCCCCTGCAGGACTTGGCCAGCCGTGTCAGAGGCGGGTCACTGACTTGGAAGCCTCCATGTACGTCTACGTTAGAAGGTCGTAAGGGGACCATCCAAATGATGAATCCGGAAGATTTGGCTTATGAATCTGAAACGGGCTGTTTGATTTGGCTCCGGGCCTTAGAGCAGGTGGTGGAGTCCGTACAGCCTCAGAGAGGAGGAGCTTGGCTTTGGCGTCAGGCACGTTGGGATCCAATTCCGGCTCCTGCATTTGCCAGCGGTGGGATCTTATAGAGGCCTTCATACCGAGATCGCTGAACCTCAGGTTTCTTTTCTGTAAAATATGAGCATAATACCTGCCTGGTAGGGTTGTAATGATGAAATGAAGCGATTTGTGTAAAGTATCCCTTTCCTAGCGGGCACTCAGTAAAATTGCAGCGATGACCATGTTAAATCACGTAGGTCAGTTCACCACGATTCATTTGGGGTAAGTTGCTATTTGCTCTCTTTTGATGGACATGTGGGCATTTCCATGTGCAGACAGAAGCTTCACAGGTTTGTGAGATTTACTTTCAGTTGCATAAAACGTGATGTGTTTTGATTCGAATCAAATATGTGTCCACTGTGTTCCTTCCAGCTACGAGCCTTCCAACCATTTTTCATTTCTTTGAATCTCCCCTATGCTGTCATCAGAGGTGAAGAACTCGCTTTGGAAGTAACCATATTCAATTATCTGAAAGAAGCCACGGAGGTAATATATGGATGGTTTTGTGATTCATTCACCCTTCAGGAAAAGACAGAGAAAACACACAGGGATTGGGTTGTGCAGTGTTTGGGTCCCAGGGCATGTAAGCATTTTATACATTCCTGGGAGTTTGAAACTAAATGTGCTTTGTTGGTGAGCTCTCTGCTCACAGTGGCCAAGGGCATCATTAGCATGTCTAATGAAGCGCCCCCTTCCTTTCCAAGGCAGCCTCCCCACTTTAGCCCCGCGATTTCTTTATTGTCTCTGAGGGCTTCTCTTTCCTGCCTCCCTGTGTTTTTCACTCGTCTTCCCCACGTCTAGTCTAGAAGGGGTCACCACTGCTCACTGCCATTCTGTGTCCCCTGCAGTTGGCCAGGATTTATTCCTCTCTAGGCCTGGCTTGAAACTTAGATGCTTTCCTCACCTAATCTGGTGTTTCTCGCCCATGGTGTTCTGTTTGTGAGGCTTTGTTTTCTGAGCCACCTGCCTCGTGTCTCCGTGATCGCCCAGCCCCCTGGAAGGACGGGGAGGCCCGCTGTGCGTGCTGTGCCTGTAGTGTTAGCCAGATGCTGATTTTCCCCCAATAAGGACTCCTCTGTAATTAACTTTAGTCCATGAAAATGCACAATCTCTTTAAGCAGTGACTTTATAGACTAAATTGTTTCTTATTTTTAAATTTTACTTTTTAATCTAGTTAGCATGGTCCAGTGTAAAGAGCAAAAGATCAGTATTGGAAAGGCCCAGATTCAGTGTCCTGCTCTGGGCTTACCAACAAATAATTGTAGTTTCCTCATCTGTAAAGTGGGAACAATAATAATTATTATCTGTACAGAAAATATCTTGAGAAACAGATGAGAAAATAGATGGCAAAACAATTTCCTAAAACATAAGGCCTTGAGAAATGCTATTCTTGATGAGACTGGAAACTTTGACATACTTCACAAAAGTTCACAACCTACATACACTTCAGGGCTGATGTCTGAGTCATACTTTCCTTGCAGTAATTTTAGCAGAGACTCTCCATGAATGTAATGACATTTCACTCTTTGTGTCTCAGGTTTTTTTTAACGGGACCCGTGTCCCAGTGGTGCCGGGGTTCTTGTTCACAGAGTTGATGGATGAGCTTTGCAAACGCTCAGAGCAGGAGAGCCAGGGAGAGGCTTTTATTTAGAGGTAAATTGAGAGGACAGAGCTCCTGGCTCAGGCCAGGAGGGGACAAGAGAGTCCGTGGCCATGTACTGTGTTTTATAATGTGATAAAGGGCTAGGGGTGTGGACCTACCTGTTAGTGATCCTAGAATGTTCATCCTTGAGGAGACATTAAGTCTCTTTTCTCATCAGTCTTCCAGATAATTCTGCAAAATTAACAGCTTTTTGGTCTGGGAGCATATCAATCATCAGTCAAGACCATGTGCTCTGCCTTCAAAGTGGGCTGAGTTATTGTCTGTTTGCTAACGAGTTTAAAAGGCAATCTAAGATAGGATCTTTCTCGCTTTTACTATGTTGTTTATGGCTGGGCTTGCTTGCCATTATTAATTGCCCAGGTTGCAAATCACCTCATCAGGTCTGAAGGAGGAAAAACACATAGGTCTGGGTCTTTTGGCAAGCTAAAGTGAACCTTACACATGATCACAAATGATTAGCATAATAAAAACACGGGCTACTTTCCTTTATCTGGGGAATATTAACCGATCTCAGTGAAGAAGGACTCTAGAGCTTAATGTTTAACCCGGAGTTTTGGTGGGGGGTGTCCTTGCACGTAGTTACCCTGCTGTGACTGTGATTACCCTGCCTTGCCTTTTCCGGGAGCCCTCACCCTGTCTGAGCCTACGGTCCCTGTCTCACCAGGGTCACACAGTTAAATCAGGCCGGTGACAATAGCATGACATAAAATAACCTTTCTGGGCACATCTTTACCAGTCAAGCCTTCAAATAATTAGAGAATGTAATGTCATGGGAGTTTGATCTTAGAAATGGAGCTAAAGAAGGCTCTTTCTGCACACACCCGAGGTGGGTGGGGAAAACACGGGAAGGAAGTGACATTCTCCCTGCTACCCTTGATCCTCTTGGCGAATCTTTGTCTCCGCTTGCGAGAGGCGGACCTGCAGATTTAACAGCACTTGCCGTGAGGCGCATTCAGCCTGCAAAACCTTCGGTGATTTTTCTTCCAGGTTAAGGTCATCATTGAGAAAAGTGACGAATTTGATATTCTAATGACTCCGAATGAGATGAATGCCACGGCACACCAGCAGGACATTTTGGTGCCCAGTGAGGATGGGGCGACTCTTCTTTTCCCAGTCAGGCCGACACGTCTGGGGGAAATTCCCATCACAGTCAGAGCTGTGTCAGCTGCTGCTTCTGACGCTGTCACCCAGAGGATCTTAGTAAAGGTAAATGTCTGAAGTCTCAAATAAATGGGATGGAAATACATGACTTAAGAGGAAACAGAAGACGGTTTTTCTCTTGGCTAAACTTGTTGGCAAGACCCAGTAGGCCATCTTCTCTACCCTCTCGGTGAGGCTTAATTGTTTTCTCATCTGTATGTAAAAATAGATCACATGTATGTTATGGAAGTAATCACCAATTTCCTCCTGAAACTTGTAACTATAAAGCAAGTTTCTTCTGCAGTTAGTTACATTTATAAACTGTTACATTGGGGTCCTCTTAAATCATGCCAATTGACACATAGATTCTTAATTTTCCAATTCCTCAGGACATGTAGAAGAGATTTTGTGTTTTTTAAAGAGGAGACATTATGTACAAAGAGAGAACCCAGCGTAGTGGGTAAACACTTGTGTTGTGGGGTGAGATACTCCTGGGTTCAAATCCCAGCTCGGTGAATAGTGCCTTTGGACGGTGTATTTAATCTCTCTCTTTGGATGATAAGAGGAATGTGCCACAGACGGCTTTTCTCATCACCTTTCCATCTTCCCTTTGTCATTTCCATGAAATATTATGTCTGATTTAACCAGTAAGTAAACATATAGCAACAGATTTGAAGCAAGAATGAAGACATGGTGGGGCCTTACCTGGCCAAGCAAACTTTAGACACAACAGGCCAGATTATTATCTGCAGACGGAAGCAGAAACCACGGTAATTAGTTCCTTCTTTTCAACAGGCTGAAGGAATAGAAAAATCGTATTCACAGTCCATCTTGTTAGATTTGACTGACAGCAAGCTGCCAACTACCCTGAAAACTCTGAGTTTCTCATTTCCTCCCAACACAGTGAGTGGCAGCGAGAGAGCCGAGGTTTCCGTAGTCGGTAAGAATGCCCCCCACCCCTGCTGGCCCCCGTGTGGATGGTGATGTAGATCCTTCGTCTGCTTCTACATGCGCTTGTTATTCAGCCCTGATGAGAAGAGGTTTGCAAAAGGGTTTACTTGGAGCTAACTGCTGATGGCAATGGGAAGGCCAGCCAGAGGAGTGTCCTGGCCCAGTCTTCTCAGGCTTCGTTTTGTGTGTGAATCACCCGGGGATCTTACTTAAAGGGAGATTCTGGCTTCTAGGCCTGGGGTGGGGCCACGGATTCTGCATTTCCAAGCCAGTTCCCAGGTGGTGCTGGGACTCCGGGGCATCTAGAAGGGGTCACCACTGCTCACTGCCATTCTGTGTCCCCTGCAGTTGGCCAGGATTTATTCCTCTCTAGGCCTGGCTTGAAACTTAGATGCTTTCCTCACCTAATCTGGTGTTTCTCGCCCATGGTGTTCTGTTTGTGAGGCTTTGTTTTCTGAGCCACGTGCCTCGTGTCTCCGTGATCGCCCAGCCCCCTGGAAGGACGGGGAGGCCCGCTGTGCGTGCTGTGCCTGTAGTGTTAGCCAGATGCTGATTTTCCCCCAATAAGGACTCCTCTGTAATTAACTTTAGTCCATGAAAATGCACAATCTCTTTAAGCAGTGACTTTATAGACTAAATTGTTTCTTATTTTTAAATTTTACTTTTTAATCTAGTTAGCATGGTCCAGTGTAAAGAGCAAAAGATCAGTATTGGAAAGGCCCAGATTCAGTGTCCTGCTCTGGGCTTACCAACAAATAATTGTAGTTTCCTCATCTGTAAAGTGGGAACAATAATAATTATTATCTGTACAGAAAATATCTTGAGAAACAGATGAGAAAATAGATGGCAAAACAATTTCCTAAAACATAAGGCCTTGAGAAATGCTATTCTTGATGAGACTGGAAACTTTGACATACTTCACAAAAGTTCACAACCTACATACACTTCAGGGCTGATGTCTGAGTCATACTTTCCTTGCAGTAATTTTAGCAGAGACTCTCCATGAATGTAATGACATTTCACTCTTTGTGTCTCAGGTTTTTTTTAACGGGACCCGTGTCCCAGTGGTGCCGGGGTTCTTGTTCACAGAGTTGATGGATGAGCTTTGCAAACGCTCAGAGCAGGAGAGCCAGGGAGAGGCTTTTATTTAGAGGTAAATTGAGAGGACAGAGCTCCTGGCTCAGGCCAGGAGGGGACAAGAGAGTCCGTGGCCATGTACTGTGTTTTATAATGTGATAAAGGGCTAGGGGTGTGGACCTACCTGTTAGTGATCCTAGAATGTTCATCCTTGAGGAGACATTAAGTCTCTTTTCTCATCAGTCTTCCAGATAATTCTGCAAAATTAACAGCTTTTTGGTCTGGGAGCATATCAATCATCAGTCAAGACCATGTGCTCTGCCTTCAAAGTGGGCTGAGTTATTGTCTGTTTGCTAACGAGTTTAAAAGGCAATCTAAGATAGGATCTTTCTCGCTTTTACTATGTTGTTTATGGCTGGGCTTGCTTGCCATTATTAATTGCCCAGGTTGCAAATCACCTCATCAGGTCTGAAGGAGGAAAAACACATAGGTCTGGGTCTTTTGGCAAGCTAAAGTGAACCTTACACATGATCACAAATGATTAGCATAATAAAAACACGGGCTACTTTCCTTTATCTGGGGAATATTAACCGATCTCAGTGAAGAAGGACTCTAGAGCTTAATGTTTAACCCGGAGTTTTGGTGGGGGGTGTCCTTGCACGTAGTTACCCTGCTGTGACTGTGATTACCCTGCCTTGCCTTTTCCGGGAGCCCTCACCCTGTCTGAGCCTACGGTCCCTGTCTCACCAGGGTCACACAGTTAAATCAGGCCGGTGACAATAGCATGACATAAAATAACCTTTCTGGGCACATCTTTACCAGTCAAGCCTTCAAATAATTAGAGAATGTAATGTCATGGGAGTTTGATCTTAGAAATGGAGCTAAAGAAGGCTCTTTCTGCACACACCCGAGGTGGGTGGGGAAAACACGGGAAGGAAGTGACATTCTCCCTGCTACCCTTGATCCTCTTGGCGAATCTTTGTCTCCGCTTGCGAGAGGCGGACCTGCAGATTTAACAGCACTTGCCGTGAGGCGCATTCAGCCTGCAAAACCTTCGGTGATTTTTCTTCCAGGTTAAGGTCATCATTGAGAAAAGTGACGAATTTGATATTCTAATGACTCCGAATGAGATGAATGCCACGGCACACCAGCAGGACATTTTGGTGCCCAGTGAGGATGGGGCGACTCTTCTTTTCCCAGTCAGGCCGACACGTCTGGGGGAAATTCCCATCACAGTCAGAGCTGTGTCAGCTGCTGCTTCTGACGCTGTCACCCAGAGGATCTTAGTAAAGGTAAATGTCTGAAGTCTCAAATAAATGGGATGGAAATACATGACTTAAGAGGAAACAGAAGACGGTTTTTCTCTTGGCTAAACTTGTTGGCAAGACCCAGTAGGCCATCTTCTCTACCCTCTCGGTGAGGCTTAATTGTTTTCTCATCTGTATGTAAAAATAGATCACATGTATGTTATGGAAGTAATCACCAATTTCCTCCTGAAACTTGTAACTATAAAGCAAGTTTCTTCTGCAGTTAGTTACATTTATAAACTGTTACATTGGGGTCCTCTTAAATCATGCCAATTGACACATAGATTCTTAATTTTCCAATTCCTCAGGACATGTAGAAGAGATTTTGTGTTTTTTAAAGAGGAGACATTATGTACAAAGAGAGAACCCAGCGTAGTGGGTAAACACTTGTGTTGTGGGGTGAGATACTCCTGGGTTCAAATCCCAGCTCGGTGAATAGTGCCTTTGGACGGTGTATTTAATCTCTCTCTTTGGATGATAAGAGGAATGTGCCACAGACGGCTTTTCTCATCACCTTTCCATCTTCCCTTTGTCATTTCCATGAAATATTATGTCTGATTTAACCAGTAAGTAAACATATAGCAACAGATTTGAAGCAAGAATGAAGACATGGTGGGGCCTTACCTGGCCAAGCAAACTTTAGACACAACAGGCCAGATTATTATCTGCAGACGGAAGCAGAAACCACGGTAATTAGTTCCTTCTTTTCAACAGGCTGAAGGAATAGAAAAATCGTATTCACAGTCCATCTTGTTAGATTTGACTGACAGCAAGCTGCCAACTACCCTGAAAACTCTGAGTTTCTCATTTCCTCCCAACACAGTGAGTGGCAGCGAGAGAGCCGAGGTTTCCGTAGTCGGTAAGAATGCCCCCCACCCCTGCTGGCCCCCGTGTGGATGGTGATGTAGATCCTTCGTCTGCTTCTACATGCGCTTGTTATTCAGCCCTGATGAGAAGAGGTTTGCAAAAGGGTTTAGTTGGAGCTAACTGCTGATGGCAATGGGAAGGCCAGCCAGAGGAGTGTCCTGGCCCAGTCTTCTCAGGCTTCGTTTTGTGTGTGAATCACCCGGGGATCTTACTTAAAGGGAGATTCTGGCTTCTAGGCCTGGGGTGGGGCCACGGATTCTGCATTTCCAAGCCAGTTCCCAGGTGGTGCTGGGACTCCGGGGCACAGTCCGCTCTGAGTAGCAGGGCCCCGCGATCTCGTGGCTGGAGGGAGGAGGTATTCTGACACCAGAGCCTCTGGCTTGTGGGACTCACAGCCTCTGGTAAGTATCAGAATCTTCTGTGGGGCTTCATGAAACAAGTGCCTTTGCTTTCCTCTCAACCTACTCCACAAAAGCCCCCTGGGTTTCGGCCTGGGCACGTATATTTTGAAAAGGTTCCCGAGCAAGCGCTCCTGACAACCACATGTTGACATCCGCTGCGTGGAGCAGTTCTGTGCCCAGGACACAAGGACCCCATTCAGCAGGAGCTGCCCGCCCACTGGGGTCCCCCATCCCCGTCTCCTTCCTGTAACCTGTAGATACTTTTGAATCAACTGTTAATCAATCAGCTTCCACAAAAATTTTTTGCTTACACAGTTGTGCTTTACAAACTGCTGAAGGAAGCATTTAGATTAATAGCTTGCTAGGTGTTCAAGGTGTCAGGCCCTCAGGCCCTTCTTCAGAGGCTCTGTTAGCATCTGCGGGTAGAATACTTACTTATATTAGAATCTCAAACGGTCAGCCCCTCTGTAGAGGACTTTAGGGAAGCCTTAGGACTAATTCTTGAAAAGAATTAAATGACCTCTCCATTTAGTGGGACAACAAGTTCTGCCTAAGCATCTCCCACTTGGGGTGCTGGGGGGGGCGCAGTAGCATACACACATGTGCACACACAGAGGGGATTCTTGAATTTTAAATATTACCACCATTCCTTACATTGGAGTAAGTCTGTCATGGCTGTTGAAGACTTTGAAGTTTAATTTTTAAGCTTGATGTAAAGAACAATTTTTCATGTTTTCTTTTTATATGGTACTTATTAAAAAAAAATCTATTTAAAAAGCCCAGAATGTATGACTGTTAGCTGGCATCTTTGGATTTTGAGAGTCTAAATTTAGGTTCACTGTGAGTATTGAAAACACAACCTGCAGTGGTAACAATATAACTTCTATTTCTCTGTTAGCATCTAGAGCTTAAGGCCCCGTATGATAACATGGCCTCACCTACTCACGGAGAGGAGGGCTCCTCTCTCTTTTTGGATTTGGGTGTTTTTTTTTTTAAGGATTAGATTTTCACAAGACTTTTGGACATGGAATGGTGTAAGTTGCGAAAAAAACTACACAGAAGAATACCCTCGATACAGCTCAACCACAGTGGGGTCAGAATTAGAACAGCTTCTATATTTCTGAATTTTTACTTCTTTTCCTAAGTCACGGTGTTACTATATGGGTAGAGGAATCTTTCAATCGTGTGTTTTGTTCCATTTTCTATTACTACCTCTGAAGATTATTCCTAATCCTTTTTGATTCCAGGATTTATTGAAATACTTGCACGTGTTAGTTCTGTTTTGTTGTTGAGCGCATTGAAAAATACGACAGTGCCTGCTCTTTAAAAAAATCGTTTCTCAAGTACTATATCCGAAAGAAATCAGAATAAAGTTCTGTTTAGGTGAAGAATACTAATAATAAAACATTTCTTTCCTATGGAAGAATGAGTTTCCTAAAGGTCAACTCCTAGCATTTTTGTTCAAGAATAATTTTCTAAACTTAGGTTTTGCTTAGTGTGTGTCATATCTCTGAGCTAGACATCTCCTATTTTGTCACCTACTCTACAAGCTCAGTACCCCTGTATTAGCACGTGTCTGACCAGTCTCCCTGAAGCCGGGTGTACAGTCTCCCCTCCGTCCTGCGCGTGGAATAATCCTGCTGCCCCAGTTTCAGCCGCCCTCTGCTCTGGGCAAGCCTCCCTCCCCCGGCGGGTGTGGCTGGTGCGGGGCACATGCTGAATATGCTGCCCGCCTTGTGCTTTCAGGAGATATTCTCGGCCCTTCCATCCACGGCTTAGCCACGCTGATTCAGATGCCTTATGGCTGCGGTGAACAGAACATGATAAATTTCGCTCCTAATATTTACGTTTTGGATTACCTGACTAAAAAGAAACAATTGACGGAGAATTTAAAAGAAAAAGCCCTTTCATTTATGAGGCAAGGTAAGCATTTCTTTTTTCTTTAAAAGTAAACATTATTTTTTAGAGCAGTTTTAGGTTCGCAGGAAAACTGAGCAGACCCCGCATACTGTCTGTCCCCACACATGCATGACCTCC